TGACATTCTTTGCACATTGTTTTCTGCTTAAGCTTAGAGGAAACAACTTGCACGTCAAATAGCCTTTGAAAAAAATTAATGAAAACAGTTCATCTCCAGAGTCATAATGCAGATCTCTATCGCCTCTGCATGTACGGCGTGTATGTACTGCCACTGCCTCGTCGACACTGAAATAGACTGGCCCTCAAAATTTGTTGTTCAAAAGCGTTTTCAATTTGTATATTTACGCAGGACACAAGACCACTTCGTTTGTCTGGTTCACAGACGTACGTGGGCCTGGGTCCGAATCAATAAGCCTTTTGCGAGTTAAATTTAAATAAAATCTGGTACACTGATTTCTTTAAATTCACGTGAACATAACAGTCTGAATTCTCCATACTAAAAACACTGTTGCTATACCTCGTGATTTGGGGCAATCTTTTGCTTAGTTAAGTAAGTGACGCCTTGCAACAATACGTGGATGCATAGCGACCACTGTCTCTGGAATGAACTGGTTCTTTTGTGCACTACTTATCCATTGTGAACAGTGTACTGTTGCAAGGTGTCTCTTATATAACTAAGCAAAAGCTTGCCCGAATCAAGAACTCGGAGTACCAGATTTTATTCAAAGGTCTCTCGAAAAGAATTATTCCCATGGAATCAGGCATGATATCAAGCCGAATCCAACTGGTTCGGACACGGCCTTCGTGTAAAGATACACAAATGACGTTATCTGATAAGAGCGCCGGACTGGACGGTGTGGAGGCCTAGGGGGATTCCATTACTGTACATACTACTCAACCCCACCCATCAAAAACACATTAAAATTACGTGGTAGCAGAATTCCTGCCGGTCAAGTAAGTTTGGCGGCTTTTGGAAATCGCTTTATGCAAAATAAAAGAATTCTTTATTTTGCCGACGCACACGTCTACGGCGACGCGCGCGGTGACCAGAAACCGGAAATGTTGCGTAAAGTGTCTTCCCAGCCTTTCAGTGTAAGTGGGTGAGGCAGCCTGATGTATTCTCCAAACTTAAGTTTGCAAACGTATTGCTTGCCGTCTGCTTTCTTCCTCTTCACTTGCTACGCGCAGGGGATACTGGCAACCCTAACTTAACGGCGTAACTAAGTCGTCTCTGAAGACTTTCTTTCGTTTTTGAAGTTGGAATTTCTGCCGTTGTCGAGATCTCCTTCAGTGTATTTACAGACAAACCTCCTATGTGACTCCACAACTCGTCGCTTATTTCAATAGAGGGGAGGTTCATTTAAAGGTTAACAGAAATTAAAAACATTTAGTTCACGTGAAGTATTTCAAAATAACAACAATAACAATAAATGTGTATCCATTTCAAAACATCATAAATTCAGTGTCTACCCTATTAATGGTGACCTCAGAAAGAACAAAAAGATCCTAGCTAGGACTGTGTCTTTTAATTTCTACCTTGAATCGCTACAGTGTCTATTGCAAGCGTGCGAACCTGCATGTACTGTGTCCAATCATGCAACATACATGTACACCGTATAGACTAATCCGACTAGACGCCATAACTGCAGTGGCATCGCACTCACACGTACATTTTTTAGCTTGTCGCGCACATGCAATTGGCAAATCACTCTGCTAGTCGAAAAGGCTTGTAACGCGTGCGTTAACGCGTAATGGCTTCTACTTTTGGTGGTCGAATTATGTAGGCGTTCTGCCGGTTACGTCATCAAATCAGCCTCAGAGCGCAAACGGCAAAAAGGGGATTTTTTGTGGGCGGGAAACGCAGGATTTTTAAAATTTATTTTGGGGTCACGATTAATGGGGTAGACATTGAATTTATGTTTTTGAAATGGTTACATATTTATCGTCATTTTGAAATACTTCACGTGAACTAAATGCTTCTATTTCTGTGAACCTTTAAAGCTAAAACGAGGCCGGCGTAATATTTTTATTTCAAACCGGACAAGCTGCCAACTTCACGTGTGACGAACAGAAATCAGCTGTTATTTGGTTACCACAATTTTACCAACTGTCTTTTGCGTGCACATGTGTAAAAAACAGGCTACCTGCGACAAGGTCCATGAATTTCGCCGTGACGTTTTTAATTGGATTTTACTGGTACCCAAAGTGCACCACAGCCGCCGCTTCAGAGCCGTCAAGTCACTTAACATTGACTGAATTAATTAAGAAAACGACTTTTTAAAATTTAGTTGAACCTATGCACAGAAAGACAGTCATTAAAAGACAAGCATACGAAATTGGACGTCCTTACGCGAATTTTAGGCAAATATTCCTTTTTAAACAGTCAGCTAAAGAAGTAAATAAAAATGCGCCATTACTCTGTGCGAGTGCGTCTAATTCGAACTTTAAAGATGCGCTGACGTTTGTGTATGTTGTGCATGTGCGTTGCACTTGGAAAAGGCTACGTTACTCAATATTCATCATATCTGATTTCGAATGTTCTACAAGCACGCACATGGAGTCAAGTTAAGACTGCTCCCAGTCTTAAGCGATTAATAGAGCTGTATATATATTGTGGCGGTCGTACCAACACAACCCCCAATGCAGGTTGTCCTCGGCCGATGTCAGCGAGCGGTCTACTCTGAGGCAGCCAAGGGGGCAGTCTACCGCCAGGTGCGGCAGGAAAGCAGCTCAGGCGCGCACTGGGGTAGAGGTCAGGGTGCGACACAGGGAGCATCACTGACACAAATGGACACGTCTGCCCAAGTTGACTCTGGTTTAATAATAGCTCACACCTCTCCAGACACTACTAATGATGCGACCTCCACAGGCCCTGGCAATCTCCTAGTCAGGTCCTCGCCCCTATACTGGTCGTGATCCCGATACAGGTGTAACTGTAAGCTACGGGCACAACTTGTTTTACATCCACCAAAGTCCACCAATATAAACTTGTCCCCAGATGATCCCCCCCGGTAAGTCGTTTACTTACGGGTAACCCTACCTCCATGCGGGTACAGCCTCGTGGTTCTCCATGACAGACTGTGGCCGTTTTCCAATACTCAACTTCGTCTCAATTTCGGACTTCGTTCCCAAAACCAATCCCCGATTGTGGGCCTGAAGCTTTTTAAATTAAATTGGATTACTGTAATTTTTTGCTCTCTTACATCTTATTTGATGTTTTGTGGCACTATTTGAAGCTGTAGACTAATTAGTGCGCTTACAGCTTCAAAGTCAGCTAGTAAAAAAAACCAGTTGAAGCCTAAGACAGAGCCTAAGTTTAGTATTGGAAAACGGCCATGGCAACTTTTGAAAATTTTAAAATCAGTCACAAAAGCCACGCCTGGGCCGTGCATACCATGTGCATGTTTTCGTAGGTTTTGTTGTCTGGACTTCAAGTTCCCAAGTCATGGAGTCACGATACACACATTGTGCACAAAACTTTATGTGCTCTGCTGTGGCAACATTTTAGTGATCATTTTCCTGTTTTTTATTCATTCTTGTAGTGTATTTTTTGCACACAACAGTTCTACCGAGATTTTTTGTTGTTGTTGTTACCTAAAGGTTTGTTTCAACCGATAAAACAAAAATCAACTGCTTAAAGGCTTTACTTTTGTGTAGTAAATCTTTCGTCCTTTTGCCGATTGTGACAAGCTAAAGAATTCTGGGTTTGTTTTCCCTTGGGTTTTCGGATAACGTCACATTCTACGGTCACATGGTTATCGGAACGAGTCAGTGATTGGACTGTCCATGAATAGGTCTGCGTAGCAGTTAAAGGCTAGCCTGAAAGCAGGATTTGTTGTGCGGGGTGGTGTGTGCAGTGCATGTGCCATATGTAGCATACTACAACACATAGCGGTTTCCAATGTAAAAACTCTGTGTGTGATGACTCAAAGCAAGATCTTGCGGCGGTCCTGTACCCATTAGTTTTGAAGCAATTTAAGGGTGTTTTTTATTGGCTTCACAAAAATTTTGAGACAACTGGGTGTAGTGTTGTAGACATTTCGAGTCATGGAGGTATTTTTGTACATAAAAGCCTATTCGTTTGGCAAGAAAAGTTGGCCTTGGAGATAAAACGGTCTTCCCATTTAACTGACTTTGAGTTATCAAAATTTTATTAGACATGTACATCCCCGTCTGCTTAACATTTGCTGGCCTTTTGGGAAAAAAAGGGCGAGGGCTGCTGCGCGGCCCACACTGGACAATCATCTGGCCCACAAAAACATTTGAATGGTCACACTCATTCGCACTCTGCTTATACATTTAGGATTGCACGTGTAGCAGAACTATTGACTGGCACTTCTCTTCAGCACGCAGCATGGTTACCTTCACGGTTGGATCGTCAGTGCTGCGGTGCGGCTTATACACCATTTTAAATCTTAATTTGCTGTGGCTTATACACCACACTGCTTACATGTACAGTATATTCTGAAATAATGGTAAACAGCCTTGGCAAATGAAACTGCAGCATAGGCAATGTGCATACATCTGTGTATAAAATGCTCATTTACCGGCACTTAGGTTTTGGTGCTCCAGTTTCATTGATGTATCATTTTTGAATACAGACACAGATGTGCAATTAGCAATGCAGAAGCTGTACAAAATTGAAGTTTTCCATAGGCTTGGGCGCAAACACGGATGTGCCCAGCAGGGCTCACTTTGAACTGCAAGTTACCCCACTAGCAATTTAATACAGATCCAAGATCTTTTTAGCAACCACATTAAAAGTTCTGAAGAATATCAATGACGTAGTAATGTCAAAAGAGATTAAGAAAATTAGGAATGCATCAAGTTACATGAAATAAATGTGTTGTTTTTACACAAGAAACCATGTTTGTAATTCCTTCGATAACTTAACAAATTACCTTGGATAGCAGAATAACACAGGTTAATATAAGATAGGCATTTGCCACTTCACAAACAGTGTTGTGACACATTTGTGTCAATGAAGCTTAACTCTTTATTTTCGTGTATTACTCATCTTGGCATCTTGATAAAAACACAGTGTGTGGATGAAAAATGTTTGGGGTTCCCACTGACACCTATGGTGCAAGATTCTTGTAAAGGCCTGTTACTCAGAAGTAGTTCTGGCAACTAGTGACTGCATCGACCAGTCATTTGCATTTATTCACAAGAGATAGCATAACACCAGGGCATTAATAACTTTTTGCTGAGGCTGCTCACCATTCAGTAGAACAGTGTCACCCTGGGTCATGCAGTTTTCATACTACACAGAATACTTTAAGTTATGACATAAATACAATTTTTGGGACTGACTGAAAATTTTACAGAATGACTACATTCATTCGACCTGTTCATTAAAGGTATTATGCATCTTTTTTGCTACAATTAAGATATTTTCTCAGAACTAACAAAGTGGTACCAACAACTATCACAGTGGTCAGCTTATAAGTAATCTTTCAGATAAGCCTTTACATGCACATAGGTGATGAAGCAGAACAAGCCTCCAAGCTCATCCATTGAGCATTCTCAAGGCAAAGCTAAGACAAAATGCACTGCTCGATGAATCACTAATGGAGACAATACCTCAGGCTAAGTAATGATATGTTGCACACTTCATCCTCATATTCTGCAGTGTAAAGATAACCTTAATATAAACTAAAACAAACTCAAATGCAAATGCAAGTGTGCCGGTAGCTTAACTTCATTTTGTAGTCAATGAAGAGGTCCGATGAGGATGTATACTCACAGACATTCCATTCTAATTGCGATATTCTAAATGATATACACGAAGTCCTGTAGTTTGCTTTTGGTTCTTTTCAGAACAAGGCTCATGTGATACCATCTTTTTTGGAGTAAAAGTAGTGAATTCCACCCATATTTCAACATGCTGTTGCCCAACTGTGAGATGGAATATGTGGGTTTTGGTGTCACAAGTAGCATTTTCAACTGTAAGAAATCCTCGTGTCACTCTGGAAAAGTATTTCTGGATATATCTCAGACTTGTATTAAGAGGATGTACTCTTCTAAATACAAATACATGTTTGTATATACAAACATAAATACGTAAAACATTATCTGCTAGTAGCTGCAAGAAGCACTATTGTGACTTCCTCCATTCAGCATGGCAAATTTTAAAGGTATTTTCTCCATCTGTGCTTTGTCTACCACTTTATATACCCAGTAACCAAATTAACACATCCTTTCTGAATAACTAAATTTACAAAATTTGTCAAAGAACACGCTTATAAATTAGTTTCCAAACTCTCACCTGATGAATTGGAAGAACGGTGAGTAGCTGAATGCAACTCTCTTACATGTGATACAGGGACAATCTCTGGATAATCTGGACTGGCTTCAGACAAGTTACATTCATTTCTGTCTTTCTTTGTTTGTTTGACATCTAATACGAGTCTTACCTCTTCCATTTCCACTGTTTCCACTTTCATAGAGCCTGACTGATCAACAATGGTCACATCTACACCGGGTGCACACTTCTGGGCATGTGTTTTCCTTTGAGGATATGCCAGTTCAGTGGAAGAAAGAACTGAAGCTGATTCATTGGTGCTTGGTTCTTGGGAAAGTCCATTTCTTTTTGCTAGGGCTTCTGTCTTTTCAACTCCTTCGATAGTGACTGTTATGGTTGTTTCTACATGGTTAATATTAAAAACAACATCATGAAAATTAGACCCAAGACACAGATCATAAACAGGTAAGGGAAATGAGAGGACATGCGGGAGCAATTAAAGATTACCACACCTCATACATATTCATGATTCTGAGCCAAATTCTCAGTGGTCCGTTCAACATCACATGTCAGTTGCTTATTTTGCTGTTAACTGGACACACAAGCCAGGATTGACACGTGGATCATATATGCACATGTGGTACACTGCACTAGGGCAACAGTACAATGTATGTACCAACCATGTATCTGTCAATCATTGCTGTAGGTACATCTGAAAATATGGCAGCATGTAATCAACATTTTACTGTGATTAAGGATGCCTTATTGAAATGGATCACTGGTATTAGCTCTCCATTATACTGTCCTCAGCATCAGAACTTGACAAACTACAATGGAAAACCGCTACAATGAACATGACAGGGTCCACACAAAATGTTCGGTACAGTAATTTTCAGTTCGGACACACACACACACATTCCGAACTCCAGCCCATTCAAACGTATGGTCCAAACTCCAGCCCATTCAAACGTATGGTCCGAACTCCGGCCCATTCAAATGCATGGTCCGAACTCCAGCCTATTCAAACATAAGGTCCAAACTCCAGCCCATTCAAACGTATGGTCCGAACTCCAGCCCATTCAAACATATGGTCCAAACTCCAGCCCATTCAAACGTATGGTGGCCTGCCCAAAAAAACATGCCAGTGTGAGGTTTTTAGGCCAACACTTCCACGCAAAATAAAGTCAAAAATTTAATACACAGTAATTCCTGTCTTTTGTTAAATCTATGTTCACCTTTCATGTTTCACCTTTTTGGTAGTTTTCCTTGAGTCATCGCTTGAAAATTGCATGCAAGGTGATTAAACTGGTTCTTGTAGGTAAAACAGCACTTTAATAAATTGGCAATGCCGGGAACCATTCTAATAAAGTAGCACTTGGAAGAACATACAAATGTCATATCTGAAGGTGGCAACAAAATGTCGGGCAAGCATTTCTGAAAACGATCAAGATATTTATCAAAGATTAATGGAAGTACAGTAACAACTGCAAGGGTCTATCAGCATTTTTTTTCTTCTCTTGATTTTGAGGTTAAATCTCCCGGCTTTGTAGAGATAACCACGCTACGTTTTCTGCTATGAGTTACCGGTGTCAAAACACATAATCAGCAGCTGGGCCCAATTTCACAGCACTGCTTACCAAAAGCGAAAAATTGACACTTACTGTAGCAGAAAATTCTGTGCTTATGGCGAACGTATTTCACGGATTAGCGAGGAATTTTGGCCTATGGGCATGCGTACATCCCGCAACTACGGATTATGTGCTTAAAGGGTTAGCGCAGAATTGTTCTGCATAGCGCAGAATAGTGGACCACAAGCAATACATACTACGTTTATGTAGGCTATCCAACGAAGTGTACAGACTGTGCTCTATGTTGGCTGTTGTTCCAACGTGAGTGCAATGTTCTTCAACTTTGAGTTACACTATCATCAATTCTAAATAATGGTTCTTTATGTAAAGCAAATTTGTAATGATTTTGGAAAAAGTGCACAGGAAGTTCAGGGGGGAGTTTGGTATACCCAAATGTCTGGCATAGCAGTGTTCCACTGTATTCCAAAAGCTGTCACTTTCTGATAACTCAGGAGACTATGTTGACTTTCGGCCCTCAAGCTATGTTGTATGCTAAAAAAAGAGAAATATCTCACAAAAGAGAATATTTCAAAGAAACAAATACATTTTTCAAATGTAATTCAAAAAATGGTTGCGGAATAACACACAGTGCTGTTTGTATAAACATTGCCAACAAGTGTGACCAGATGAAATTATATGGATTTCAATTCTTTTTTCATCCAGAAAGACACAATTCTGCTTTTTTTACAAAACTTTATGGGTAAAAAGTGAAGAGTTCTTAATTTGCTGCTCAAAAGTCTCTTTAAAGGGCCTGTGTAATCCAAACAGTTCCAGGAATTTCCACCTAATTTTATTTTGGCTTTGTGATTTTGGCACAACTCTTATGAAATCCAGACACACTGCTCTCATGAAATATCCAAATAATCAGGAGGGTCAAAAATATTTACTTTTCCCAATGACACACGTATGATTAATGCTCAGGCTGACACAAGTTAATTCACCATGTTGACATTCCCCTCCAAAAAAGACCAAATCGTATGAATGAAGTGTCATGACCAGCTGGTTTGATGATTAGATGGTTTCTATGGCCACCATAGCTGTTGCCAAGGCCCTAACAGCAATGCTCATCATCAAGGGCTTCTAAGCAGCGGGCAGTAACCACTCCCTAAATAGCTCCCTGTATTTAGATATTTTAAAGGTGTCAACATCTCAGAAACCTAATCAAGGTTTCCCATGAAAGACTTGGCACCAATAGCTTGGTATTTCAATAGTTTGTGTACACAGTGAAGCAAGATTTAGATCATTCAAGGATGTCAACATGCGCATGCAGATTGGGTCCTTTCAGGGCAGCCATATGCCAGCTGACAAGCACTGAACATGTTGAACATGGTGTAACACCATGCATGTTGTTTTCTAATGACCTTGCCCTTTTGAAATGCCCAACTGGTTCATAATTACAATGCAGTAATTACTGTCATTTCACTCATGGAAAGTAACATTAAAACTATGTAACAAGTCAATGGATCAAGACAAAGTGTACCTTTTTGCCTCCTGGTTTTAAATGAGGCATTGGTGATGGCTGATCTCTTGACAACGGGTGAGGGAGGGGTGACAGCAACATTGATTCCCACAGGCCCATCACTAGGCCTGCCTGAGGGATTAGTATCCAATGAATGCTTGATGGCATTGCTCACCTGTAAAAATAATCCCAACAAAATGCATGAAGGTGTGAGAATAAAGGACAAATTTAGCCAAAACCAGTACCTTTTGGGCCAAGATGTGGTCAGTTCTTCTGAAATGTGGAACACGCTAAAATCAACCTCACTAACACTTCTCATGACAAGCTTCTTACCAATAATACATCTGCATAGAGTTCATAGTTGGCCCTGAAGTGGATATCTTCTAATGCATGTATTCCTGCGGAAGCTTGCCCATTGAACCTACGCAGGAGAGAATTATTCTGGTAAGAAATATTCTGTAAGCCATGCTATGGAATAACAGTATAGGGGGCTGTTGGGACCTGATGAAAGGCACGGGGATGGGCTTCAATGCTCTCAAAAGAGCATTCTGATTTTTGGGGAGTCATCTGCGAAAACATCATTAAGTTCATGGTGCAATGAGTCTAACTTTATTTGGTATTACTAACAGAAAGGCCTTTGCAAAGTGCAGGTGCTTGGATTCTACAATCTTAGTATGCCAGCTGTATCAACCAACCCCAATCTACAATTTACTATAGTGATCCTATGATGCACCCACTTCAGTGCAGTTCTTATGACAAGAATTCATTTACTGGTTTGCACTAACCAGTATCACCACTACATCATACAATTACAGATATGCCACATGATTTGATGGCAGCAACCCAATATCCTGGACCAACTGATTCCAGCATGGCAGAACTAACATGACAATAAAAATGATTTCATCCCTGAGAAGTGCCTGCAAGGTGTCTTTCAATGTTCCCCCAGCCAAGCTGGTTAACGTATGGTGTTGACTTAAAAGAAGTTGGGACAGGCAACATGTCTCCATGGGCCTGCATGTTTAACACAAAACTGGATCTCAATTAGTCGTCCCAACACTGGTTCACTCCAACATTAGGTGGATTCTGGTGTCAATAAACCAATGACAGATAACTAATCAAGACCAGTAACAACAGGCCAAAACAAAAGGTGATGATTTGCAAAAGTTCAACTTTACTCACATGACAAAGTAAATACCAGTTAACATCTCCAACATGAATGTAGAGTCAAGAGGAATTCTGGGAGTTTTATGAATATCGAGGTTCAGGTTATGTTTGGAGACTCTGTCTGAAGATGAGCTCTGTTTCCATGCAAGATGTGCTCCAGAGAAGCCACAAAGAACCAAACTGAAGAAAGAATCATCAAACAATGAGTTTACAACAGATGTATAAATATTATAGTCAAGAGTTGCAAGTAACAGGGTGGGCAACAACAATTGAATGTTTTATGGACATTTATTTGAATAGCTTTTGACAGTAATTCGGACTGGAGGTCTTGCATTGGTCTTGTGATGGTGCTTAAGTATTAAGGGATTTCGACTGGAGTACTGCGATGCATAGAGAGATGTACATGTACTATATCACTCATTGAGTGATTCTACACCTTCAAATATAACAAAAGGCAAGTTATTAGCCAGCTGAACCAACTAGACATCCAGACACTCCTGGGAGCACAAGACACTATCCAGCTCTCTACAGTTTTCTATGAAAAAATCTGATCTGGCAGTGTTCCACACCAGTTATCAGTATTATGGCGAGTATTTTATTTGACAATACCAATTAACCACTTCCTGCCAGGGCAGTTATCAGTGTTGATGATGCTGGGCTGGGATATTTATCATTTTGTTCTGTTTTCAAAATTCTTTAACAATTCCTATCTTCAATTACTGGACACTTACAAACATGTGAAGGACTGTCTGGTGGCCTCTCTAGCCTGACAGACAAAATCTATTGACGCCTGAGTATTTCAGCCAGGCCGGCAGCCTTGTAAAAAGAGCGCAGATTGTGTGGTGTTATATAACTTTCTTTTGTTCACGAACCTGGCTCAGTGTGCTGCTGACCTCTTTTCAATAGGGGCCAGAGTAGACTGCAGCGGTGCTGTGTGGCTCATTGATGCGGTCGTGAAGTGCTGTTGTTTCCGGTGGTAATCCGCTCACTCTAAATGCCCCAAACCATGGTATACTGTTTCAAAACAAGGCTGGATTATCTCCACATTTGAGAGTGAAAAAATGTTGGCATTTCCCAGCAGCCTGGTCTTTTGTTCCCAGTTCAGTCTTTTGTTACAAGAGTCTGTTCCCTTTGTCCGAGTTCCGTCGGAGACCCTGGCCACCTATATAAAGCATACGTGTCCGGATCCGGAATCCCCGGCAGGGAGTGGTTAATGTTTATCTTCTGAACTAATAATTTTCTGCAAATTTTGAAAATTCACAATTCAATTTTGTCCATCCAATCAATAAGTATTAGCTACGAACAAAAAGAGGGAAGCGACTGGTGTCTAAGATGCTCCCGGTAACCAATATTGATTTCTTGCCACATTAAACTTACTCAAAACTCAAGTGAACTTTCTTACTTTGAGCAAATCTTGCAGAAAAATGCATGAGACACGGGAGATAGAAATCCAATATCTGCATTGTACTCCGACATAACGTGGGTAAGCACACTGAACCTGAAAAACAATTACTGACTGTTATTGTCTTTTCTATTTACATGTATACTACAACTGTCATGCACATAAAACATTTCTGCTATGACTGCACGCAGAAGTGTTGGCAATGATCTAATACTTTCATCAATCCTACATGTACGTGCATTGACAGGATCACACTATACAGCAGTTCAGAATACTGTAAGCAGTCATCTGTTCTTTACATTGTCACGTTCTCTGCACTTTTCTCATGGAACTCTTTCCCCATTTTAAGCTTGATTTTGGCTCATCGATTTTCCTTGCTATTACAAATCATACAGACAAGAACATCTCTGCCAAATTTTTAAATCAAAGCTCAAGACAGAATACTGTTATCATTTATAAAGCAGCCTTCAATTTTTCACGGTTATTTGCTTGCATACACACATGAAGTACAAAATACACAAATAGAAGTCGCAATGCAATTATGCTGATTTAGCACAAAAAACTAGCCATAATTTCATTAGACCTCTATGCCTTCAATTGCCTTTACAGTGATTTATGACAAAGAATAGATCTCCATATAATACATCCTGTGACTTTTGGTTTTAAATAAGACTGACAAATATGCCAGTAGAGAAAAAATTCAATTAATTGGGAGGAAAATTCAAGAAAGCAAGCCAAGCAAAAGTCCACATATTAAAGCTGGCACTATTGATCAAGAACTGAAGATAGATACAGGAATACAATACTTCAGAATTGAACTATTTCTTGCAAAAAGAATCAGACTATCTTGAGATAATTAGTTGATTGCATTTTACTGTCTTCTTCACTTTCAATAATTGCTCAATCATGGGTACAAAAACTACAATAATCACTGTTTGTCTACAAGAGACCACTTTCCAACTTTAGTTAATATTTTGCACACAATTATTATCTAACAGTAGGGGAGATGGGGTTACATATAGTTGAAATTTTTTTACAGCAACGTCTACATAACACAAACATAATTTATTCCAGAAACTGTACCAGTTTATGAACACACATGTTACAAATTTAACCTATAAAGATACTGAACTTGTTCATGATTGCTTAAACAGTCCACCTTGAACACAACTATGTCAAATTCCAATGCTGGAACATAGTATCCTGTTCCTTAAAAAGTGTTGCTGCAATGACTTCTTTTATAACTTGAGTAACCTTATTTTTCCAAGAACTACAGGCCAAACACCAGAGGACGGATCAACCACCCCTCAAGTCAACAGTTTTTCTTTTGAAAAATGAATGGTAAATATTTGGGCCTTTTTCGTTTCCCTTCCTTCAAAAAACACCTCAAAAGCCCTGGTTAATGTAGCCTCACCCCTTAGGGAGGCCTTGAAACGTTATATGAAAAATACCGGTATTCCAATATTCCCCCCCCCAAAATTTGTCCCCTCCTCCCCACCCTACCCACTCCCAAAACTTTGGTTCTGGATCCATCCTTACATGCATCTTGCATGTATGCAAGAAGAATGCAGAGAGTTCTTTACACACCCTTATTGATTCGAAGAAAACTTAATCACATTGTTCCTTTAACACGTTGACTGCCGCGCATAATTTCAAAGGGACGTTCCCATTTGCCAAGCGTTGTATGCATTGCACACATATTTAACAGGTACCCTTCAGATGTCTGAGTGTGTGCATTTTACAGATGTATGTCCTCAACACTGCCAGCAACGTATTTGTGTTCTTCAGTGATGCCAGTGTATTCAGTTTACATCACAACAGCATTTCATTTCCCACAAATGTACATGTACCTGTCATGGCAGAATCTGGTACACCTGCGACCACGAGTATGCATGTATTCATACATGTAGTCAGCAGTCAATATGCTAATAAAATCAAATCTAGCTGTGAAAAATCTCAATCTTTCGATCAACCCCTTTGTTCCAACTAATCTTTTATCTTCAATCATCAGTTGTCACTCAGCGATATGCAATGCAAATGCGTTTGGAATGCGCAGTTGGTTATTATTAACAAACACAAATTTGAACATAAAGTTTGCAACTTGCAAAATGTTACAGCTGCTGTGTCTGTGCAAGAGGATGAATGTGTAGTACGTATGCATAATGAATTACGCATCGTGGTTAATGGCGTCTCTCAGTAGTTGACAAAGTGCGCTGTGGGTGGCTGGTTTAACCTAGCTATATGTATTCCTCCCACTTCCTACCTGTTTTTAATGGTCAGTGCATTGACCTGAGACAGAGGCCCCCTGGTCACCAGACGATGGTTACTTTGCTGGTATGAAAGTACATTTTCTGTCAGTGCTAACTGGCTGACGGGCTGTAACACATGAAGGTGAAAAAAGCCATAAGTGATAAAAGGGCCATGACATGACTTTGAAGAAAAACTAATCCTTGCAAACATTTGTGCCTATGAATGATACAATAATTGCAAGTTATAAATTTAACATTTTGAATGATTTTCCCACTCTTTCCATGCTATTTAAGTGTGCTCCTGCTCACTTCGATGTCACTTTCTAGCAATTGCTTGTGCTTTGACAAGTTGCATAAACACTCACACTTCCAGGATGATTTGGTAATAATATATAAAAGTGCACATAGCCAAAAAGAGTATAAAACACTCTTGCAAATGGCAATATAAGAACTGAATATGAAGGCACGTGTAAATACGACACAAATAAGCATGTCAACAATTACCACAAACATCAGTATTGTAGACAACACTCTTTAGACATTCACAAGATCAACACAAGACCTCCAATCTGAATTCAAGTCACGAGCAATACAAATTCTCCCCCCCCCAAGTGGGTCGAATCTACTTAAGAACACTTACTCAAATTACCAATACTAATTGCATATTTCCCAAGGCCAATGATCAACCAATAGTGCACCCTCAACTCCCACAATACCTAGCAGAACAGTCGCCATGTTCTTCCTCTCTACGAAGTGCATGAGCATCAAGGCCGAGTGGGGAGGAAGGGAATAAGAGCGATAATCTGGATAGGTATTCTCTAGTAGACTTGGCCCACTCTAGGTGGGGGAGAGTCTACTGCCGTCAACCTACTCAGATTACCAATGCATTTGCAGAGTAACACCGCACCTGAGGAAGGTGGGTAGGCGAGGTTGCACAATCATGAAGTACGTAGGAGATAATCCAAAGATATTTTGAGTATAAGGGACTATCAACTTAAAAGGGGGTAAAACCCTGACTCACTGTAACAGGTTGCTTGAATTTAATGATAGTCTCTTGCAGGGGTTTGGAATGGCCAGCATGGCGGAGTTACTGCTATGCTGTCCTGAGGACAGCTAGTCCATGAGAATGGTCCCCCTGCAACACATCACTGAGAAAACAAGAGATAAATGTTTAGGGAGATTTCCAGTATGCCACTTTACGAATGTCAGTTATAGGAATCCCTTTATAATAGGTCCAGGAGGACACAGCCCAGACATTATGGGATTCATGAAGTGTGCATTGCTCATTCGGGGTGGTAGGCCAATCTTCATTGGTAAACTTAATTGCGGAGACAACCCACCTGGCCATCATGTCCCTGGAGGTTGGGTCGTGAGGCAGTGTAGTGGTAATGAGTTGTTGGGAGGTGGATCCCCTGATGTCCTTCATCCTTTTCATGTACCACTTCAGCATCCAAACAGGGTACCAGAGTTTGAGTGTGACTGGATTGCAGAACAAAAAGATCCGGGGGAACAAAAATATCTGGAAGAAAGGTGTCTGATTTTTTGCAAGGAACCCTACTTCCAGAAAAAATCTTAACTCGAGTGGTTCCCATCTTAGGTACGCGTGACAATTTAGATCCAGTAAGGGAAGGCCCTCAGGTAAGCTAGTCTGGTAGCAAAACCCCCCTTAATACCGGACCAGCCACCGGACTTGGAGACTGGTCTGGCGGTTGATCAAACACTCTTCCATCCTGGAGTCTATTGTTTGTAGTTTTTATCTCACGCATAACAATGGAGCCTCCCTCACTGGCACATCAAAGCCCCTGCCATGCGGTTTTGCAAACAATTCCACCTTAAACCAACACATTTACCAATACTTTGCTAGCCCTGTGACTCTTATGCATGTACCCCTTGTTTGATATATTTACTTGTGACCTATATTCTTTTGGTTTTAACACCCTCTGAATGAAAAATGATGTCCGAGGTCACTGAAAAAATGCTCTCAAATGCCTTTGAAACCCAAGGCATCAATTCCTGGATATAAATGAATTATTCTGGGATTTTGTTCTGTTCAAAATGATCACTGGAAATAAAGAAACAACCACTTAAAATGTCTCCAATAGTCACCATGGAGGCCAGTAGTGTTTCCTGTTCATGTACATGTACGTGTGAGCAAAACTCGGGAACTTCCGTTGGCTTGAATTTCGAATTTATTATCCACTATGGTTTGAGTTATCGGATGTATAGAATGTATAAACTTTTTCCTGCCACAGTATCTAACACGTATATAAATGAGTCAGTCTGTTCGCGTTTGGTTTAATGGAAGTTGAAAAGAGTTAGTGCTTATTTTCGTTGAAAGGTATGTCGTTTGAGCATGTCTGAAAATCGCTGATATTGCATGCTTACGTACGATGGTACACCCGGCAGTCAGAACATGAAGGTACTCATCCGAAAATAACGTTCAGCTAAGAATTCTGGACCAAGCCCGATCCAGAACATTGGTGGAGTGCTCTTATTGCATGCAGCATTACACTTGAAAAATATCACACCTCGATGCAAATGCTGGCACTGCATACCTTAGGAAGTTAAACATTCTTTATTCTTTCTTAATACCCATTACTTCAAAAGAATCGAGATATGCAATATTACAAAGTTTCAAACAACGCATGTGTTAATAGTCAAAATAATCCAATCCACGTCAAGCCAACTCTTGCTAGCAGGCTTTAATCCGGTATTAAAGTCTTCTTTTGTTCAGCTCTTGCTGTTCTCTGAGGGGCAATAAACTGATACACCTAACTGACTTCAAAGGGCACAGGTCAGACAAGCCTGTGTACCGGACTAGGGCAGGCTGAGTATCAGCCTGGTTTAATACCCGACTGGTTAGGATCGGGCCCTTTCCATATCAGATCTAAATGATCACCGTCCTTTATGTGGCTATCTGATATGGAGAGAACTTTGATTTCACAGCCCCTTTGTGAAGTAACAACAGCTAGGAGGAAAGCCAGGTTGATACTTTAATGAGAAGGCCCAAACCTGAGAGAGGCCTATCTAGAAGGTTCAAACGGAAGGCCAGCCAGGAGTAGCAGAACATCCGGTAGGTTCCAGGACGGGATGAGTTTCTTAGACAAAGGGCATTCCACAAACATTCCCCTCAGAAGGTGATGGATCACTGAGTTAATGGGCGACAGAGATGGTCGAACTGCCTCAGAAGCCTCGCTGGACAGCCGCTGTGGCTGAATGGCAGTTTCTGATCGTGGACACCAAGAGGCCAGTCGAAAAGGTGCATAAGGAAGTCAGCTACGACTGAAAGAGGTGCCTTGGCGGATCTGTAGCTTGCCTTTACACCATGAATCGAAATGCCATATTCGGCTGTTGTAGATCTTTCTCATTGACAACTGATGGCCCCTGGTGGCCAAGGCAGTAGTGTCTCGAGAAAGGCCTACCTCTTGGAACGATCTTTGGACAATGTCCAGCAGGTTAGGTGTAGGTGAGATGGGTCCGGATGCAGGATGTGAGACTAAGGTTGGAATATGACATCCAGACAAAGTGGTAGGATCAGGGAAATGCTGACTAGTAGTCTGACTATGCAGGGAAAACCATGGTTGCCTCGGCCAGAACAGGGCGATGAGGAGGATGCAACAGCTGTCCTGTCCTGACAGTGCTCTGGGGATGAGTGACAAAGATGGGAATGTGTACGCTAGAAGTCCTTTGCAGGAGACGTGTAGTGCGTTGGTTACCCATGCTCCGGGATGTGGATATCGAGTGCAGAAGGTCAGGAGTTGGGTGCTTAGGTGGGACACAAAGATAATCTACATGAGGACTGTCGATCACATAGAATAGTGTCTTGACTACCTCAGGTTGAAGTGTCCACTATTATAGGACAGACCACGCCCCAAGCGAGCATCCGCCAGGCTGTTCTCCACTCCGGCAATGTATTTGGCTCATCATAGACCAATGGAGTGTTCTACGGTCCAGTGAAGAAGATACCACGTTAGAGGCACAGCCAAGGGGAGCGTGTGCTCCCTGATGGTTGATATATGCGATGGCTGTTGCATTGTCTGATCAGACCAGGATCGTCTTGCCTTCTATGGATGAGTGGGAGTGTAGGAGGGCTTTGGAGCCTGCCTGTAGTTCCAAAAGGTTGATTGAGGAACCCCAAAGGTTGGAAGAGTGGAAGAGCCAGGGCTGACATCAAGATCTGCAAATTAAGAGAGTCCCTGCTCAGCTTGTCAAGTTAGTCAGGTTAGTGTAGTGTTTCTTTCCTCGCCTACCACCTTTGGGGGCCTGGAATCGAATGTGGCTCCGTACACATGTGGAATGGGTTTTCAGTCTTCACCTGAGTCCGTGAGTTTCCCTGAAACATTTATCCAGGGTTTTCCTCCCACCTCTAAAACTGAACATTTTTTCATTGTCTTTTCACTGACCACCACCATTCGCTCATTATCATCCTGTTATTGGAGCTAATGAGAGTGAGTCAGGGGGAAAAGTTGGAGAGGCCTGCCGCCTTATGGGGAAACAACACCAGGGGACCAGATTTATGAGGCTGGTCATCAACCCCAGGAGATGGAGCCATGTTCTTTGCGTTCACCTGTTGCTGTTCTTGAAACATGGTGAAGCACTGTTATAGGTTGTCTACTAGATCATCCGCATGCATGGCAATACCATTGCAGAGATCAAGGGTCACCACAAGGTAGGTCGGTTTCTAGGATGGAGTGGTCTGGATTTGTCCCAGTGGAGATGTAAGATTGTACGTGGCTTCGGTGGCGGCGAAAGCCTTGTTTTTAGAGCAGCCAATAATTAGCCAATTATGTACAGGAAAATGAGGATGTGGGAATAACAAAGGTGTACTCCCACGGTCTTTACCACTCTGGTGATACTCTCAGAGAACGAGAACCGGAGGAATTTGCGATTGTCAGTCTGGATGGGAATACGTAGGTAGGCGTCCTTCAAGTCGATCAAGGATGTCCACACCGAGACTACGAGAGACTCCATCTAAAACCTCTTTGGTCAAATGAACTTGAGGGGTTTCAGATTGATCTCCACTTTCCCGGTCTCCTTCTTCAGGCTGAGGAAGAAAATAGACATAAAACCCTTTTTCATGAGGCAATGTGGGACCCGCAGGATGGCCTGTTTTTGGAGAAGGTCTATTATCTCCGATGCAAAAGTTCATTGTCTGGCTTGGTCGGTTGGGATAGGAGTCGGCCAGAGGATCGTGTTCGACAGAGGGTGACTTGTGAACTCTGGCTTGCAGCCCTGTGCAAGAGTGTTGAGTACCCATCGGGGGGGGGTGCCATTGTGTGAGGGTCACCAGAATTCAGGACAGGCACAGTGGGTTGAGCAGCCTGACTATGGGCCCGGGCCCGGTTGTTGTAGCTACATGTAATGCAGAATCCCTGGCAGGACGGTAATGGGAAGATGCCACTGACAACTTAGCCATACTTTGTTCCAAAGTCTCCTGGTCTGTGAATGCGTGACCTAACATAACACATATACAGAGATAGAAACAAAAGAAAAACACATACGCACATACAGCAATAACTACATGTAAATGCAGTGAAAGGTGACATTCTAGCACAATCTTTATTTCGTCATAATTAAGAGATGCTAAAAAAGCACACCCATAAATGCAGTACAATGACTGCATATACATGTACATGTAGAAGTGACACGGAAGAAAGTCTCATCGTAAGCTTTATTACACTCACAAATGGAGACAATACACACCTATACATGCACAACGATAACAAAAGGCAGTGAAAAGGTGTCAAAAAAGGAACAGTCTTACCACAAGCTTTATAACAATCAAGAATAGTTTATTAGGAAGTAGTAGTTGATTGAGAAGTGACACAGAACTTATAGTGAACAAAAACTCTCAAAAACATGTCCGTTCGTAACGGCACTAAGAAAAAGAAGAACATGGCGACCATTCCATTAGGCATTGTGTGAGATGAGGATGCACTACTGGTGGAATGAAAATTTAGCAAATGGTGTAATGGTCTAGGGAACTATGCAAGTAGTATTGGTAATCTGGGCAGGTTGAAGGCAGTACACGTCATTGTTCACCCTGCTGTTTGTGATGGTTTTGTCTGGGCCCAATTTCACGGCACTGAGAAGCACTCAAGTTTACACAAACAGAGGCTCAGTGTACCGGTATTTCATGGGGACCCTAAAGCAGTAAACACAGCAAAAGGCACTTGAAGGAAAAATTTGCTTAACTCGGTGACATAACAATGGAAATCTCAATGCTGGCATACTTTTTTGTGCTAAGTACAGCAACCATGAAATGTTTGCTGTGATATACACTTACCAATAAGCAAAGTTTTGTATAAATGTTAGCAAAACAATTTTGTTTCTTGGGCCCTGGTCTAGTCTTGTGTTGGTCTCTTCAACACTGCCAAAAATGGACTTTTTAAAATTGAATATCTTAAGTTTTGGACGTCACTTTCTTTTCACAAAACTTCCATTCAAGTTTATATTATATTATGTTTAAACTTTCAGCACACCACAAAAGTGTATGAAGTTTAAATCTTTTGACCTTAATGAAACAATCACCTCCGCCCCCCCTTACCACCAGGGTAACATACCTCATGATAAATGGATGGCTTTGCAAGAGTAGGGACAGTGAAGGACTCTATTCTAGAAATGCCATCAGGTTCAACCACTTCCTGCAGTTAAACATGTAACTCATGAAGATCACATCACATATATGTGTACAAGTACTTGTCAAACAACTTGGAACTCCATGAGATTCCTCTGTGTGATAACATGATCCTAGTCAGCAGACCTCAGAGTTCACTCTCCATGAGCTAAGAGTCAATCTTATGAAATTCAACGTAGTGTACGATCTTTAGTAGGACTGAAGTGTAATGATGGATAGTCATGCAACAAATTGTTGGTATGATCAGTGGAATTAAAGTATGGTATTCCCATATGTCCAATATTCCCTGTCTCATATGCTTTTGACACAATGAATAATACATGTAGAGTGAACAACCATTAGAGAAAGATGAGCAAAATTTTCCCCCCAAAATTTTCAAAATCAGAAAAAAGAAAATAAATTACCTTAATTGACCCAAACAACCCACATGACCTTAACCCCTTGACGATGGAATTTTTTTTCCGAAAGCCAACTCCAAGAATTCCAGCCTCGCTTGGCCACGAAGGCCACCTGCCAAACCGCAAATTCTCGGTTTGTGGCCCTGCGTGCTCTGCACGCTTTGATCTACGCAGTGAAAAGGCTCATTGTTCGGTGGCATGTGGCTCTACTCACGCTTCCACATTCCCATTGCTGCTTTTAAAAGTGAGGACTATAAAGTGGAAAATATTTAATAAAGAGCAGTTTCCTCAATTAAATGAGTTTTATTTATCTCCTTCATGAAAGGGTTTTACACAGGCAAGTCATTCATCACAAAAGGAAACAGGGGTTGTACAGCAAGGCGAAAATAGGAGGATTTTCTCAGAGAGGGTCTCAGTACTGTAGCTCTGTGAAGTGGAATTTGTATCTAGGAATGGCCTCCACTATTAAATAATGACCCAGGATGCAGCAAGGGTTGAGGCCACATCCAAATTACATACTGTGGCTACGACTGCAATGTACAAAGCTGTGGTGGTTGCTGCCTTACCAGCTGCTCTATTTTTCATAGGTTATGTATTTGGCCGCAATGGAAGCCAATAATTCGAATGCGGCTCACACAAACACGCTAACAGTTTGTTGAATGTCAACCTCGTTCCCATTGGCTTGATCTTGCCACACAATCTGCACTTGTACGTGTAGATGGTTGGGAGTAATCAGCGATTTCTGGAAGTATCGTTTCCAAAGCGTATAACAGAATGTGGGATCGTCCAAAAGGTCTTTTTTTCCTTTTTTTAAAATAAATAAATAACAAATGAATAAATTGGGACAGGTATATTTCTTAGGGGCCGGCAGGGACAATCATCATCTATTTTTTCATGTGGCCTTACTGCAAATCCCTTAAAATAACTTTAAGCTCCCATGTCATGTTACATGCTATCTATAATTTAAGACATTGCGTGTCATAATGCATCATAAAATCGATGACACCAAGTTGGCTTTAGCTGGTGGTTGAAAGGGAGCTTGCTGCTTTACAGGCAGCCAAAAGTCCAGGATATTTGTGAGGATGATTTCTGTGAAGTTCGCCTTAGGACTGCACCTGAAATGCTTGTCTACATGTTCATTTTTTACATCTACTTGTACCTCTTACTGCAATGTGAATGATTGACAAGTTGCTTACCATGTTATAGATACCAAGCAAGAGACTCTCAGCTCTACCGTAATTCTGGGAAGAAAAAGAAGAAAAAAAAAGGCATTGCCACAAAGAATCATTTCACAAGGTGTTTTAGTCACATAAGCATTTTTCACCCGAGTATGCTTTCAAATAATAAATTTTTCAGTAACTGTTTTGGATACCAGCAAATGATGGACTGTACCTTACATGTATATGTAGGAAATAAACATGAATTTGACCTTTAATACTAACTTACTTTCAATTAACAGAGACTTTGAAATGCATGTACACAAAATGATGCAGAAGGATGGTTAACCATAGTTAACCCTCCTATGCAAAGACACATTCTTGACACAGTTGTCCTATCAGTCAAAACCAGTCAAATTTCCTATACATGTATGTGTCTGTGTACTGGGGGGAATCAAGTGGAAGGAATTTTTGACTGTTTTTGATGGTTACAACAAAAGGAGGGTTAATGTATTGTTTACCATCTTACATGTATCTATGGTTAACTTATTGTTAACCAGGAAAAACACTCATGCTCAGGAATGTGAACTGCCATTGTACATGTATGCAGGATCTGCCATGATGTACTCTACCCATACAATTGCATCCAATATGTACTGGTACATGGGGACTTAATTTTTCACCTTCAAGTCTCAAAATATCTCACTCTTCTGGCATGCATTCCTTCCAGATACACGTGTTGCACTTAAATACTTGCAAGTTTGTAAATGATGATTAAATGCTGCAAAACCTGGCACTACACGTCTTTTCAGTGGGAATATGAACAATTACAATGCTTTCTTTGATCAATACAAGCAGCTGCAAACCTTTGCTAATTGTACCCCCCAATGTTGCTCAACAAACACCATATTACACCTGTCAGAAATACTTCTTTCATGAGTTCTAGAAACACCATAGAAGCCTGTAGTTAAAGTTCAGTACATGTACAATATATGCTATAAACAGCACTGCCATGTGTCATTACTGAACTCACCTGCCCACCAACAAGGAAATAGAAAAAAAGTAACCACCACTTTTTAAAGCCCAAGTAGAAACTGTGTGAACTATTTCATAAAGTTCAAGAAAACTTTGAGTCACTGCTAAAAACAGTTTGAAACGTGAGCATCTGGCAAGATGGTTGTGTAGTTTGAGCAGCTTGTCGGCATAGGAATGTGCACATCCCATTCAGGCAATGTCACAATAGTTGCATCAAGGCAAGATCACATCATGGCACTGCTTATGGTTTTAAACATTGGTTTATGAAGGCAGGGTTTAGTGGATCGTTGTAGAAATCCCATCCTCATGGAGATTTTCATCAATGTGATCGAACCAAGACAGATGCTCAACCAGGATATTCCCGAGATACTTGTATGAATGAACTCTCTCGATTGACTTCCCATTTAATTAAATCTGAACATGTATGTAGGTAACCCAGGGTGGAAACCAAAAATCATGAATTTAGTTTTACCAACATTAAGCGTAAGTTTATGGACCATCAACCTCCACTTAACTACATGTAACTCAAGACCATGCACCACATTAGATCCAATATTTTCAGGGATCATGCCATCAAACATTACCATGGTATCATCGGCATACTTGTTGAAGAAACCAATTCAATGTGTACAATGTAAATTTTCTTTGTGTACTTATCACCGAGAATGGGGCATTATGGAATTCAAGAAACAACTATGGATGGCAAAACCAAGGAAAGTATACTCAGAAATGTTAAGTTGTGTCACACTTGTAAAAGTAATTCATCCATTCACAAGTTTGTAGGGCTATCCCCCAAGGTAGAGCAAAATGTTCTTATTTATGGAAATGTGGGAATAATATGTGCTTGGCCGATCTTAAACGGCCAAACAAATAATTATTCCCATTCATAGATACCATTTTTTGTCAGAGAGTCAAAAGAAGTCAATATATGACAGAATTTCAATGATTTTGTTCTAGAAATTTTACTTTCATTTTCCAGAACACCGTCGTTCATTTCATGGTATATTCCTTGCTCAAGTTGTCCAAGAATCTCCAAATATGGACTTGGTGCACGTGTGGTGCATTCTGCATACTGCGTTGCACAAAGACTCTTGGCCATGGGGATGGATTAAACTGTCTTGTATCAGGGTGTGGATTTACGGCTATTTTTGGAACTGGGTACCCATTTTTTGTCAACCTGGGTACCCGTAAGAAAGAAAAATTAATTAGAAATACCATTGCATTGGACCATGTGCTTGAAACAGGGTTCTTTTTCGTACATAGGAAAGAAGCAGCACATCATTCTAAGTGTCAGGGTAAATCTCTCCTACCTATCAAATGAAACTGTTACCTCAATTTGCAAAGTCTTCTTTTTGTAAGTATATGAAACAGAAAAAACCAAAACTGTTCATGAACATCAAAACATGCGAGAGATCTGCAAACCACCTACATGTCACACCAGCCACTGCACAAAGGAAATGTCCCAGATGCTGCACGACCACATACATGTGGAATACACATGCACAGATGGACTAGAACGTATGTGCGGACCAGATCAGTGCTACGGAATATGGATGTCATGGGTTAACAGGCTTTTAAGTACAAAATTACCACCGTAACCAGGACAATGCCCACACCCTCATATCCCCTTATTTTGAAGTTTTTGAATAAAAAGAACCGCCACCAAAATGCTTCAAATGCCATTGAAAGATTCGTAAGTCTAGGGTCAAGAGTCATCACTGCCAAGCGCATTTCTTTTCTCACTGGGACAATGCACGCTGCATAAACCAACGTTATCTGAAACTGCAACAAATCCTGGCCTTTTAAGCCACTGAAGCTAGCCTGATTGCTACAACGGGCCCAACTGTAATCCCCTTCAGACAGTCCAATTGCTGACACTGTAGTGGCCATGTGACTGCAAAAGGAAAGGTCATGTGACAAAAATCCAAGTGAAAAACAGGACTAATGTGCAGCGCTTCACGTTGTAAACAAGACTATTACAAAAGTTTTGCTGCACGAAGGTAGTACGATAAAGTGGTCTCTTTTAATTGAAAGAAATTTTAGAATAACTCCATTCCCCTGAGGTTCAAGTTGCACTGTATAAGTACTTCAACAAGGATACATTTGACTGGGTGACTATATTATAATTGGTCAATATTTCCCTTTTTTCAAAAGAAAGAAACACTTAGATCTGAAAGGCTTAAGTGCACAAAACATCCTTCCTGCTTTTTTGTTTGATTCAGAATCCACAGTTCCACTGAATCACTGAGGAAATCTATTTTGCTTTAATTTAAAAGTAATTTTGAAATTAAAAGTGACAACAATTACGGTACATTTCTTGGTATCAAAAACTAAGCTGGTTCTCTGACTCCTTGTGTTTATGTAGCACATTCAGTGCTTTGGTTACGATCAAATAATATGAGGCTGATCAACAACACAATTTGTGCATGATCGCCACTTACAGCATGTGTAGTACCGCTGCTACATGTATATTACACAGGTCCATTCTCGCTACAACATCAATCCCACCATAAAATATTTTTTTTTCAATTTTGTTTTATACAAAAATACTGTTACTGAACTCACACAGTAAGCACTACCACTTCAGCACAAAAGTCATTTCGGTCATTTACATTTTTTTCCCTTCTTTTTTACCGGTACCCAGCCTGAAAAAATGGAACCGGGATTGATAGTGACAGGTGGGTACCCCGGTAACCAGCATAGGCCTAGTATCGTATCCAGGCGCCAGAGCATTTTTACGCAACGGGCATTATCAAATCTTTACAGCAGGCATTATCAAGTGTTAATACACAGTCATGTTGTGCATTGTTGAATAGGGAAATGGTCTGAGGTGTTTATGAATATACAATATCATAACAATGTAAGCCTCAAATGGCAACACTGGACTGTATACTCCCCAGGGAGCTGAGGTTTGAGAAATGTTCGGACGTTGTGAGCCTGATGAGCAGAGGAAATGATAACATACACGTAGATGTACATGTATCAATGCCTGTGAATGGCAGATGACCCGCATCTCATACATGCTGTAACATTATTATTACATACAATATATAATGTAACTCAACCTTGGTCCTCACAATCAAGCCTGAATTCATCCAGGGCCAGATCTCGGCTGGTCAATTTAGTTGCAATTTAACTAATATGATCCAACCTTGTGTAGTGCTAGTCCACGCAAGTAAATCCATATCACAGCTGGAACAAACTGCAAGCAAAAGCGCTTCAGCTCAAAGTGTCCAGAGCGGTAAAATTCATACAACTGGCCGCATACTGGTTCCTGCAGCTAAAAGTGAAATCAAGAATATGAACATGTACCTTAAAATGTGTGTTCTTTCTTGCTTTGACATGTAGAAGCATACATGTACATGTGCGTGTACACAAACAAGAAGTATGAACTTTAACATCCAAAGACATGGTAATGATGAAACAAATAACAAACAGAGTTTTTGTACAAAAAATTCTCTTCAGTAACTTCAACTTCATAATTCATGTAGACATGTATATATGTGCAAATACATGTATTGAAAATGTACATGTACTTGTATTTGTAGACACTGGTTCCATGAAGAGTTGGTATACTTGGCATCATTTGTTGCATGGGCTAACCCATAAAATCTGCCTTGTACATGTAAGTTGAGGTTCATAGTTCTTCTGTTACTTATCCCTTCCTCTATCTTCCTGACCCAGAAACCCTATAGAATTTGCCTTCAACTGATATCATAAATTTTATTATGTGTGCCCACTCACAAACTCACATTACATTTTGATCAGAAAAGTTTCTGGTTAAAAGCTTTGGGAGTTAGCCTTAGCATACTTACACTGGAGTGAGGCTCTTGAAGAATTTCATAAATTGATTTGATGAGCTGTACATCATTTTTAATCTTTCCACAAAAAGTTGCTACATCTGTTCCATCTATGAACTAAAAACCAAATACACATTATAAATGCATGAACGTTGAAAAAATGTTCAGAGTCAATATCCTGGCACTGAATTACTGTGCATATTCAGGTAGCCAAGAATTCAGCTTCATGTACGTACAGTTTCCTACACTTGTACGTAACTGACACTTGCATGCATACAATCTTTACTAAGGTTGAGATTTAGTAATATTTAAAAATAGGCATGCTTAAAATTTTGACAAAACTTGCAAAATACTTCAATACTTAGAGCAGGAATCTTGGTTGAACCATGGATGTATCAACTGCAACCAGAATTTAATTTGTGACTATTTGTGTTCATTTACAAGCAAATATAAAACAGAAATTTCAAAGTGACACATGTACATATACAATGTGACATTGTTTAAGTTAACAAGAGAAAGACTATGTAAATGTGTACTTCATTACCCATTTTACCTTAAATACAAATCAATCTGCTACTTGAAGACAATTGATAGATTCTATAACGAACGGCTAGTATGTGTAGACATTTCCAAGTTACATCACATACCTTATACTCGGTTAGCCAGTTTTGCACTTTTTTCTCTGCCATTATTAATCCTCAGTTCATCACTGATGGTACACTTTCCACTGCCTTTCAATTTTCTGACAGGAATGACAGACCTCAAAATCTACAGTCAGACAGTCAGGAGTAAAGCAATTTACATGTCAATTGAATACTAGACAGTATAACTAGAAATCATTACATACATGTACTACTGCTTGTTGTTTCACCTTTTTTACTTCTTGCAGTATGTATTTCATACATGTATGTCAATACTTTACAGAATCAGTTGTGTTCCAACACTGTCATGTTATTTAATCATTTTGGGGAAGCCTAACAAGAAACTGTGTAGTCATACCATTTTGGGCATGAAAAGAGGACAGGTTCTCCCAAATTATAAAAACAAAATTACATTGAAGACACTTTAATAGAAAGAGTTCTGTGTCTGGCCTCACACAATTTTTATGTTTCATAAACACAAAAAAGTTAGAAAACAAGTGTCTTGTTCAGAACCCTAAGGGAACAGCAAGAGTGCCAACTCCAGCCCTTGTCAAACTTGGTGTTAATGAAACTTCACAATTATAGAGGCTGGATGTGGAACTCTTCAAGAAACTCAAAGCAAAAATATTCAGGCACGTAACAGCAAGTGTAAGATATCAATACTTAAATTATAAGTCCTGTGAAATTTTTTTAATAGGGTATGTGTGGGGAGGTAATATCCAACCACTGGTCAACTGCTTCGGGGCAATGTAGACATGCAATTACAGTTTCACTCAAATGACTGCAGTCAACCCATTTTGTGAAGTCATCATTCACATTTTGGTATTGGTTAAATCTCGCAGCATTCACGGTCTCGGCCATCTTGCAAAATTTACTTGGGACCAACTGTAACGTTTTAGCACCACCCATCTCACACTGTTTAAAAGTCTTTACTTTATTTCTTTGATTGCAAAACACTCTACGTCCATGTCAAGCTATGAACATCAATGTTGCTATTATAACTGCTGTAAGTACACTGCAGTCCTTATGTTGTTTGTGTCTTCAATTCTTTATAGCAAAAGAACTTGGGTACATGTACCCATAAGTCTCCATAACAAAACAACTTAAGTAAACCTAAAGCTACACTGTTTTGCCATCAATATGATGCATGCATGTATACATGTACATATATGTGACGATAATACACGTATGGCAAAAGAAACTAATTTCTTAAAACTCAAACCACCAAGACATTTACTGTCAGATTTTGCAGGAAAGTAAAAATTAAGAATCACCCAAAAGAGCCATGTGGGTCAGGAGTGTTCATTTTGTTGGTAGTGACGCACTCATAATGCTTGCATTTCATACATGTCAGTTGTTTGTGAACCTGCAAAGTGCAGTGATGACCAATGGCACCTCCTGTTTCCTCTTGTGGCCCTTCACGGGGCTCACATGGTACATGTAGTCAGCAGGTCTCTAATTTTGCCACCTTTTGTCAGGTCTCATTGATTTTCACAGTAAGTGGTAAAGTGACCTGGTGACTATACTGTCATGGACGTTACATTTACCTGGCACCTGCAAATAAAATGGTACTTTTGCCAGGCACCTACACAGTAGCTGTTTTTGGACCAAGAAATTCTTACAATGACAAATTTTAGTCTGGTTCAGTGACAACATACTGGTTGTCATTGCAACTTCATATTCAAGAGGTGGGAAGGGAATGTTATTTTCACTTTGTGACAGTCCTTGGTGTGTCTTTCTTGGAGAATGTGCACTGTACTCTAAGGCTGAATAGGGAAGGAATAGTCCTGTGTAATATGTTGTGATAATCCAATTTTAATACGTGAACCCGTTTGTTTACAGTAGTAAAGGAGGGGCATCCCCTGCTTCCCAAAGTGGTTGAGCTGATACACATGTACATGTATATACCATCAACCCGATGCATACACAGTGTGTAAGACACGTGAAATGTGGGATGTGGTTGGGTCATTTTTCATCTGGAGATTGTGGGGATGGTGAGTAAAAGCTATAAATTTTGCCCAACATAGTTGGTTACATGATCTGGAACCCTTACACGTGCATGTAGGTCATTGGATTTAAATAGATATGGATTAGGCCTAGTATCGACTGCTTTTTTGGCAAAATTTGATTAAGAAAGTTTTTTTTTTATGAACCATGATTTGACATAACTGGCATGACTGGGCTGCACTCAAAAGCCTACAGCATTACGAACCTATAAAAAGTCATACTCTCCAAGTCACACGGACATGACAAAGTAATGACTTGTGGAGTTCAGCAAGTAAGTCTGAGTAACATGGACACTACAAATTGGCTTTTAAAACATTTGGACATGGTCAGGCAATAGTAGAGTCCAAGTACTTTCCTCAAAATAGCTTGTACCCAGAGTCAAAATCCTCCAAATTCATCCCCAAAACAGTCCTGAAACTGTCTTTGGGATTCTGAGGGAATCAAAGATAACAATGAAGGTGGTAAAGTTTACTCACATATGGGATAAAAAGAGAAATTTTCTGCTGAAATTAGAAATACTCATCGGCCAAGCTCAAAGTCACTCTGCATGCTGTTCTGCTGATTGTAGATTGTTACTGACTAGGTTCAAGGTAAACAATTTCTGCAGACCTACATGGTTTTCCAAGTCACTGCAGAAGGGGTGCGGATCTGTTTTAAACATAAAGAAAGGAAAACATAGACAGCAAACCCAAAGCATTGAGGAATGAAACAAACATGCTCAGAGGGATTGATAAAGCAGAAAATGGAAAATGAAATACATGGTGAATTACGATATTTATAGGAATAAAAATTACATACATATTTTCGGTGAAATGAAAACACTGAATTAATCAGAAAACAAAAACCACTAACTTCCTGGCTACAATAACACATCTTTATGGCATCTTTCCATACCAGCATGTACGTTTTTGGTTGCGTTGCGTATACGATACGTTCATGCATTTCATTTTCACAGACACAAAAATCAACTCCATTAACAGAACATCATGCGCATTGCATTCAACCGTGACAGGTACATAGCACTTGGCACAAATGTTGATGCGCATATGGAAAGGTGCCTTTAGTCTTCTAAAAACAGTGGCTTTTCCTCGAAGGTTAGCAGCAGCCAGCACCACACAGAACATCATGCACCATGTGCACCGGGGCTGGCCACGTGCCCAATGATGTTGGCGACGTCCACAAAAGTGGTGTGGTCAAGATAATGTCTCGGTTGGACTTCTTGAAAAGTCACAAAAGTTCCTCCAAAATGGACATTTTATATTTACGCATACAGACACTTGAGTTTAACAAGTCAAGAATTGAAAATGAATATTGACATTAATAAATCCATCATTTGCGTATTTTTCTCATTTTTTGGTTAAAAATTATAGTAGTCGAATTTGACGACGAGAAACATTTAAATTCAGCAATGACTGTCAAATTTGGCAAAGTTGTTCAATTCGTACTTTTCATTTCAATCTTGCATAAAAAATTTAATATTGCTGAAAAATGTTGATCTTCCATGAGAAAAATACTCTCGCATGAAACTCTGAGTCTTGCGCGAAATTTCAATTTTTCCTGAACGTTTTGCATCTTCCATGAGAAAATGTAATGCATGAAAAATTAAACCTTGAATTAAAATGTTGCGTCTCGCATGACAAATTTTAGTCTTTCATAAATTTCATTGTGTCTTGCAGCAAAATAGATTAGTCTTGATTTTCTTTTTGTATCGGACTTCAGTGAGGGTTTTGAATTAATTTCGCCTTGGCATTCCATGTACACAGCTACCGAACATTGTCAGGTTTATATCAGTCAGGAACCATTTCTGATTTCAATGGAAAATTTCTCTTTTAATACTGTATGTGAGGAAATAAACCACTTTCATTATAATCTTTGATTCCCACTGAAAGTGGGAGCATTGGACAGTTTTAGGACTGTTTTGGGGAATAATTGACCCGGGGTTAAAGCTTTTATGAGTGAAATGAATTAATGGAAAAGAAAGCATATGGAAGGTACATGTACATGTACTTGGACTCCAAAATGTCCAAATGTTAAATAAGGTGATTTGTAGAGTCCAGGTACACGCAGCTCTACTGAGTGGAGTGTTAGTACTCTTTTTTTCAAATTCTGTGTTGGATTGGTCAAACTTTGAAAAAGAGGAGTAGGCCTAGGCCTACTAATGCTCCACACAGTAAAGCTAATGTCCGTGACGGTATACATGTAGTTGCCAGGTCCCTTTTTTCCCCACTTACTGTGAAAACCAGTGAGGCTTGACAAAAAGTAGGTGGCGAAAGTACATGTACAGGTAGGGACCTCGCGACTATACGGTCACAAACGTTAGTCCAAGTTACATGTAAGTCTGGTTTCAATAGGGTCGTTTGTGATGTAGATATGAACAGAAGGACACCGTGCATGATGTCATTCCACTCAAAAATAAACAAAATAGCATTCTAAACTTTGTGATTTTTTGTGGAAAATACCCTTTTAGATTGACCTCATGATGCCAAACCCATATTCAAGTTTCATGCATTTCATTGATGGTCAGCTGTTTAATTGATCACAAGGATGTAATATTTAAGCATTACGAAGAAAATGGGCAAAACTTATGTCAACTGGCATGGCTGGGCCCTTGTTCATCGAGCATAGGTCTACCACAAGGAACATCTCACCCACGATATAAATCACATTAGCACAGCGCTGTATCAGAATGGATACAAATCAAATCAAGACGCAAGACCCAAGATCCACCTCTGGCAGAAGAATCACCTAAACTCAAAGACAACTAGTTAGGGCCCCTTGTTCTATTACGTAGGTTTCACATTACAATTCTACCCGGGTTTTCTCGGAGTAATTGAAAAAAATAACCTTGAGAATACCCGGATAATTCAGAGTGTTCACACTGCCCTTCTCGGGGTTAGAAATTCTCAGGGTTAACTGCCTCGAAACCCCACTTAAAATGGGTATTTTTAACCCTCCTCGCGAGGTGGGTTAAGCCATCAACCACAGGGTTAACGGCGGCCTTGAGACAATTCTCCAGGTTACTTTGGTAGTATGCATGCTCGCCAGGTTTCCTTCAATGTGGATTTTCTCATCGAATAGATAGGATGGCGCATGCACAACCAGCACTGTCCTCAGCTCCACAGCCTCAGGCAGGCACTGCCAATTTCCATTGTGGCTGGTATTTCATCGTATTCATACTTTTATTTCATACAGAGGACACCAGTCTAATTAACTAGTAACTAGTCTTTTTGATATACGAACACCATTATTATTTGCAAGGCACAAGTTGTGACCTCATGCTGCATGCGTGACATGTCACGGGTACATGTACGTGTCTGTGCTTAAATTACATGTACATACACATCGGCTGCACAGTGTACATATTATTTATTATTATTATCTCCGGGTTGCCCCGATTGAAATGTGAACATGGTTACAATTACCCAGGTCTGCATGAAAGTGGGTACGCTAAATATCCTGGGTGAAGTTTGGAAGGGTGAAACAATTCTCCAGGTAAGTTTATACCTGGATATGAACAAATACCCGGGTGAATAAATTACACGGGTAAAGCCAAACAAGTGTGAAACCGGCTTTACCCTCCCCTACAAAAGTCCTTTTCACACTAGTCTGAACTTACCCGGGTAAATTACCTGGGTAGTGGTTCATACCAGGTAGGAACTAACCTTGAGAATCCGTTTTACACTGCAAAACTTCAACCCGCAACTTAGCTTACCCACTTTCGTGCCAACCCGGGTAATGTTCACACAATCAGGTGCACATGATTCTACACTACATCATTGTAGAAAAATGGCACCTGTTATGAAATTGGAACCCCCTAGTGTTGATTATACACTGTACTTCTTCTTGGTTTTGCCTGTTTCGCCATAGATAATGAAATAGAAGTGTTGATGTGTCCAGATGTGTACATGTTAAAAAAACTTATGCTGATGAAGCCATGTATGTTCACACGCCCAGCATGAAGTCAAGACTAGTGCCTTCCAAATAGTATATAAGAATTTAACTCAGAAAGACAAGTTACTGACCTTTATATGAAGTACATATGAAAATAATGCACCGTCATATCTATTTGATGAAACAAACAAAGTTGCATTTTGAGGCAGTAAACCTGGAGAATTCTAACCCTGAGAAGTGAAGTGTGAGCACTCCCAATTACTCAAGTAATCTCGGGGTTAAATTTTTCAACAACCCTGAAATAACCCAGGTAACAGCATAGTGTCAAACCTACTCTAGGCAGTATTTCCAATTACATCCAGCAAATCTTCTACTAGCATGATATATGTATGCATTCAATTGTCCCGTACAGCCCCTTGAAGATGCAGAATCTCCTGACCTCACACAAGGCCTCAGCACAAGCCAGGAGTGTTCAAGATCCTCTGCCTATGTGACAGATGCCTCAGAGAGACTGGCAGCGACCTCCCTACCAGATGCAATGGACACAAGGCCCTGTGTAGGAAAGGAGAGCTCAAAGAGTCTTCCACCATCAAGTACTTCCACACCAAAGACACCAGGTCAACTGGAGCCAAGCTGAACTCATCACCAGCATTGAATATTTGTACCCTCGCCTCATCAGGGAAGCAATCAAAATCCTTGATCATATCACAGTTCCCTAAGACACCAGTTTCAACATCAGTGACAGTTGGTGACCCATCCTCACACTCCAGTCCGACAGGTCTCCAATACCCTAGGACATGTTCCACCCAATGGGCCTTCCTCTGTACTATTCTCTGTCATGGTCTGCTGGAGTACACCTGGGTTAGATCCCGAGTTACATGTAGCATTGTCTACACAACTCACCTTCTCTGGACACCATATAAATCGCTTCACCACTGACCACGAACAGAGATACCGTACACTGCCTGAAACGTTGAGTACCAATAACCCTCTGGTTCTCTTCAGAACCACACATACTGGTAATTTAATACAAAAGAGATTTTTTGCTTGGTGCTACTGTAAACCGTTTGCTTAACTTACATGTATGTGTAAACCTAAAATGTGCACAAACCAGAAAGATGTGCAGAAATGTGTAAGAAACACAATGCTGAGGATGAACTACATGTACATGATTCTGATGGCAACGACAAAAATGGCAAATGGAGTGGACAGACAGCCCATATGCAGAAATAAAATTAATTTAACCCCATTTGCAACTGCTAACATGAAAGTGAATTTTGTAATGACTATTGACGTGAATTTGTGAAAGGCGTGGGCCCATGAAAATTGCTACAGTATATGCATGTATGAGAAAATGCGGTCCCCTTTTGGAGACTGCGCCAGTACGCTTTCATCTCAGCAGCACCTACTGTACATGTAGGTTGTGGAATGCCTTGCCCTAGGACATGAGATTTGACCACTCATTGTATTCTTTTAAAACTAAACTTAAAACTTTCCTTTTTAATCAAGCATTTGGTAATTCTTAGTCCTTGTATTGTTTTTACATGTTCGTGTAACTTCTGCGGAAGGAGCTACTGCTGTGTGGTGTATACTATCTTAATTTGATAATCTGGTATGTGTTTTTTATTTATACTGTGCAGATTCCTTGCTATGTATTTACAGATTTAGTTATGAGTTCTTTCAGTTAAAATATTTACGGTAAATACAACTAACGATACTTTAGTTGTTTCATTCTAGTTTTTTCTTAATTTTTTAGTTTATTTTGTGCTGGTCTTTTTATATTAATTTTAATTACTATTTTAACTATGTAATGCGCTTATGAGTAGGGGTGTCCCGGAGAAAGTGCAATATAAATTTAATTATTATTTACTTATTTATTTATTTATTTAAATGTCCAGATTAATGACATATTAATATAAATTATTCCACACCCTACAAGTTGTCGTGTCAAACAATTGTATCATTTAGCATTGTATTCTATCTAAATATTCTGAAAGTGTGCTTGAGATACATGTAGGGGCTACAAAAACCTATGCATTCAAGACACCACCCAGTATCATGAATACTGCATAGGCCTACATTGTATGAGGCACAGGCCGGCCCGTCGGCCACAATGATGCTCAGATACAAGGTACTATAGTGGTATTTTTCAAAATGTTTCAATAATTACCACAGACTTCAACCAACACTATATTGAACCATAAATTGAGTTTGGTGTGCTTTGTATAGGACACAAACTGTATTCTTATCCAAGTGCTAAGGAAAAAGTGGGCATTTACTACCAAAAAGCTACCAACCTGGGATTGCTATCACATCAATTAAGCATCACCAGACATGTACAAGTATAAACCTTCCAAAAATGTGTTATTAGATTTTGCTACCAAAGGTGGTACCAATATTGGCCTCTGGCCCATGGACTAGGTCCCTACATGTATATGCTTGCATTGTAGTCTTGATTACCTTGCTCTTTGCATTTCTTACATTATATGGAAACCAGGGGTGCGTTCAACTTACGCTAGCATTTGAGCAAACGTTTGAATGCTGTGCATCATGCTACCAGTATGGACCGGAATGTGCCAAATGCTGTATACGTACATACATGTACGCTGCAGTTTGTTCACATGGCAGAAGACAGCAGCGTTAATCTTACTTGGTGTTGCCAGAATTTTGAAGAATTTATTACAGGCCAACTCGACGACTGTCACAATGTTCCTGATTTGGTTTCTGATATGATTGGGAAATTAGTTTAAGTCAATGAGTTCAGAGGAAGTTGAGAGTGAAGATTGCTGGATTATGTGTGAGTTGTGCAGGGGAAAATGCCATCTGCTGAGGAAATCATATTAGGGGCCATTTTATTTACAAACTCGGACCAGAAACATTTTAAAATCAAGCTGAATTATATTTTGTTGCTTTCCTTCGATTTGCCACACTTTCGTCCTTTCAGGTTGAGTTTCAGGCCAGATTGAAGAGTTATAACCATCACTTTAGTCCTCAGCTTCCATCTATTTTAAAAGTCTGCTAACCTTCACTAGGCTTAACACCTCTTCTACTATTCTAGAGCGTTTGCCAAAGTTTGCTAACGCTGCCTATACATGTACTTGACACCAAACACGTTCCAGTTTGAAAATGTGTGCGTAAAAGATGCAACGTTTACATTGTTTGCTTGTGTGGAACGCAACCCTGGCTTCACTCCATGAACTAACGTTAGCCTATCTGCTAATGTTACACTTCATGTACACGTAAGACCCATAAAAAGGGCCCGCGGGAGTTCATTAGCCCAGGTTGGATGTTGTCTTCATTTCATTACGACTGACGTCCAGGTTCTAAGACTTCTGTACAAAACGACCACAAACTTAGTTCTAGTTTGTTCTTGGTTTACCTTGCTGAAGAAACTAATTTTTCATGTTTACAAGTTCTTCCTGACCTTATCTATCCACCAGGGGGGGTAGGAATTTCAGAACAAACCATGGACTGCAAAATCGAGGAAAATAAGTGAGAGAACACATTAAATTTGTGGACATAATTCATCCGTTCTTGAGTTGTAAAGTGCACCCACATACAGGGATCCGAGCTGCGTGCATGCACTGGGTGTGCGCGATTTCCAGTGAAGGTCTATTGCACACCTGTTGCACGGAGGCCGTGACTGGTACCCGGTTTTAACTCATCTGCCGATATCAGAAAATTGCAGAACTTTCCATTTTTGTCATATCGGGGGCTTCAGACTGACCAATTAACCCCCTATTAAGCTATTGGTTACCCCTAAAAGGTTCCTTTATCTGTGCCAGTGTGTTCTGGAAAAGTTCTCCATCTCTAAAAGAAATATATTTGGTGTAACTTTTAAAATGGGACAAATATGAGTAAATTGCTAGCAACAGAAATGCGCCAAAGCCTTGCTGGATAATACCCTCTCCCCTTGACACGGAACTGCCGGGAGTCCCTTAACTTCTATTGAATTTTGTGGACACCTTTTGTCAATTTTAAGTCCACCTGTTAACACATAATACATGCTAAAAAATGGCCAAGTTTTGTACAAATCATGAATTTTAGCTTTCCCGTAATGGCTGTAGTAAACTCAGCTTCCATGCAGGTAACTAGGCCAACTGTCACCAACCCACGCCCCAGCCTTGCCCGGCCCGATGTCATGTGTACTCGGCATGGAGATTAATGGAACTCAAGCTGAGAACCACATTTGTTTTCGAAACGAGTGCATTCGGTTAGACTTCAGTTTCGGTTCCAGTCAAAACATGTAGTTTTGATGTGCGTGTACGCAGCTCGGAATCTCGTGCATCAGGTAGTTGTGCGCATACACAGTACAAACTACTGCACTGGAGAACAGCTGAACCTGCGTACCACAATGGCAAGAATTAATGTTACTTCAGACTTCATTTTCCCGTTTTTGCCTTTGGTGGTGTTGAATTCTTATCCCACCACCTATGGAGATAAGGACGCATAGGAGTTACAGACATGAAATTGGCTCCTTGGAAAACATAGAAGTGTTGAAAATTTCAGTTACAAAATTTTTCACCCGATTTTTCATACTTTATATCCTAGACTCCCTCCGTAACGTAGAACGGTCAGGGAGTCCACCTGGGGTAGGGAGTTCATTACCTTTAGCACCCTGTTCTTATAATATAATAAGGAAACAAAGTTCACTTAATCAAACTTACTGACATTAGGGCATGTAAGGTACTATTACTCAATCCTGATAGGCTTAGTCTAGGTAAGTTTTGACAATACTTAAGCAAGAAAACCACAAATTTCTAACCCACGTTTGGAAAAAGACAACTGCTCGGCTTAGTCGAATCATGCCATTTTGTTTCTCGCCTGGTTACCCGACTCAGGCATTTTGGATTCATCAAAACAAATCTCCATCCAGGTCCAGACTACATTCGCTAATTTGTCATTCACCACTCTTCGGGGCAGTCATCTGGTCATGTACGCTGCAGTTTTACTCCAAAGTTTCCTTCAAAACCAAATGCCCTGTTCTCTTCATTTGTGATATGAAACTCATTGAGAGGATATCACCAACAACTTTTTTTAGATAGTGTTTTGAAAAAGTGGAATTTGTTCCCTTATTATAGGTACAGGTTGCTAAGTAAAGGTAATTGAACACCATGTATCCTGGCATAACCGAGATATATATGCAACCATACGTATGAAGCCAAACCATGATGGTTGTGTTTGTATTGCACATGCCCAATGTGTATTAGACTTGCGTTGCAGCCCTTCATTGTTATATCAACAGTAAAAACACCATCAATTTGTGTGAATTGCGGTAGTCAAGCGGTTACGGCATAATAGTTTGTGATGCATGGGGTGTGGGTTCGAATCACGGGTCGGAATTGTGGGCAGGGAGGTTTTTTTTTTTAAAGGAAAATAAAGCCCAAATCAAATGTTATTGGAGCCTAATTTCACACATGAAGTTTTTATGGTTGGTTGAGCATCAAGATGTCTTGCATTGTGCATGGTTGTGAACCGTGGTTTGGCTTCATATGTGTGATCGGCATATATAGCTCCATAACCTACATGTACATCACCATGCAACTTGCAAGCCTACTCCTTCGTCACACATACTACGGCCCAGTCCCGATTAACACTGAAACAGTGATTTCTTCCGATCAAGTTTATCCAGGATGTCCAGGGATATAATCAGACATGCATCCGCTGGATCTTATGGGCTGAAATCGCACCAGTATGCTCACTACTTTAATACTTACGCTGCTAACTACACCCTAGGTTGCTATTTGCAGACAACTCTCCTTTTAGGCCTACTTCAATACTTGTTTGGAGGATAGGAAAATATGTCGCCTGCAGTAAGCGTTTTTCCCGTCCGGACGAATTTTAGCCCGAATTGCACATTTCACAGACTCCTTTGTATGTTTAAGTCACGGTAACCCGTACGGAGAACCTGTCTAGTTTGCACTCAGACTTCAGTACATACGAATTTAGTACAGATCCGCAAGAGTACCTGTCGATCGTGGAAAGTTAGGCTGTTTTGTGTCGCAGCTATTACGCAACGCCTATCCAGTCTTAATCATTTAATACGGCGATCGTTGAACATGTAACGCGGCTTGCTCTCTGTGACGTGACACGAAACAGCCGTCAGTTTTGTTGAAGGGTCCAGTCTACTAATTCAAAATTCAAGCTCCATTGAAAACAGTGTAAAATCAGCACTAATCAGGGCCCAAT